GTTATTGTAAAAACAAAGGTAAAGGAAAGAAAGTACACGGACAAAGTGGTATCCTGGACAGGGAAAGGACATTTGGTAAAAACTAATAAAATCGGAATAAAGTTATGGACTTTAGCTAACAATGTGTCGACACTGACTAGTCTCAAGGAAGACTACCAGCTATCAGTGGCAGGAAGCTGCCGGGAGAGGGAAACTCTCAATACGGCTGCAGTAACATTTCTATACACCGAAAACTCTACAAGGTTTATGTTTTGAAAGTTTATTTCAAAAAAAGTATGTAGCAGGGCAGAACAGACCTAACAGAAGGCTTAGCCAGATATTGTGTTCTTATATTTATAAAACTATCTTTAAGTATAACTGGTATTTTAGTCTCCTAAGGTTTAATTATTAGTCAAAGAAATGTAAATGTTTTGGTTCAAACCATTTACCTAAACACTAAAAATCAAGGCACCTGGTCAATTTTATTAGAGATTAAAAAATATTTCATGCCGAAACCGGTTTGGCTCAATGGATAGAGCGTTGGTCTGCGGACTGAAAGGTCCCAGGTTCAATTCTGGTCAAGGGCATGTACCTTGGTTGTGGACACATCCCCAGTAGAGGGTGTGCAAGAGGCAGCTGATCGATGATTCTCTCTCATTGATGTTTCTAACTCTCTATCCCTCTCTCTTCTTCTGTAAAAAAAATCAATAAAATATATTTAAATATATATTTCATGCTATTGTACACTTAACCAACCAGTCTTGTTTCTGTCTTTTGATCCAACTTGGCAAAGTCTGAACACCGCTAACAAACAGCTTCCAATTTCTCAGAATCACATACGAGGTCCTTTATGGCCTAAGATCCACCTTACCCTGGCTTCTGCCTACCTTCTCTAACTTCATTTTATACTACCCGCCCCACCAGTCTTTCTGATCTAAAAACCCATGAAGACTCAGAGTGTTCACTTCACCATGGAGACCGATGTCTGCTATCTAGTGCTGGGTAGCAAACCATCCCCAGCATTTGGCGGCTTAGCACCACCCCTTCTATTCCCTGTGATTGTGTGAGTCAGCTGCCTGGGCTCCTGCCCTGGGACCTTATGCAGTCACCACCTGGCCGGTGGAGGGGAGTGGTGGCTGTCAGCGGGGTGTATTTTTCTAACTTCTTCCCTTCACAGCTGCAGCAAGGGTCCAGGAGTGACAGCAGAAGCATTTGCTTGATCACAACCTACCATGTATAGGATGTTTTCCCCAAAAGCTTCCCATAGCTGTCACCCCTTAAAATACCAGCTTCAAAGAGGCTTTCCTAACCACTGGATTTAAAGTTTCTCACCCTGCCGAAACCGGTTTGGCTCAGTGGATAGAGACTGACAGTGGTCTGCAGACTGACAGGTTCGATTCCAGTCAAGGGTATGTACGTTGGTTGCAGGCACATCCCCAGTAGGGGGTGTGCAGAAGGCAGCTGATCCATGTCTCTCTTATAGATGTTTCTAACTCTCTATCTCTTTCCCTTCCTCTCTGTAAAAGATCAAATATATATAAAGTTTCTCACCCTAAGCCTGATTTTTTTTCTCTCACTAGAATTACCCATCATTCCTGTTCACTTTTCTGTGTCTTTTCTTTAGAAGCAGAGCTTAGTTCACATCTTTATTTTTGCTGCCACAACAGGGAAGACAACCAACTTTATAACAACTGGCAGGGCAAACCATGTCAGTTAATACTAAGAGCACATTAGTAAAAATCTAAATGGAAATAAGATTGTTTTGGTTACTTCTGTCCAGACAAAAAAATCAAGGACCTAATTTTTAAGTTCAAGGCAGGTGACCTGAGGCTCTTCCTAGTAAATTTAGAGCTTCACTATCAACATTAAGACACCAGTTTAGAAATTAACTTACTTAAGACCACCCAAACACAAATAAGCCCTCAAAGAATCTCTGCTTTGTCCCAGTTAAATAATCTTACAAGGGCCCAGCGGGCATGGCTCAGTGGTTGAGCGTCGGCCTATGACTCAGGAACTCAAGGCTCAATCCCTGGTGGGGGTGGGAGGCTGCAGGAGGCAGCCAATTTTGATTCTCATCATTGATGTTTCTCTCTCTCCCTCTCTGAAACCAATTTAAAAAATACATACATATATATATATGTATGTATATATATACTGTATATATATATATATGTATATATATATACTCTCACACACACATATATGTATTTTTTGTTTTAATTTTTTTAAATAAATCTTTATTGTTCATATTATTACAAATGTTCATTTTTTTTCCCCTCCGTTGCTCCCCTCCACCAGGTTCCCACCCACCCTCTGCCCTTTCCCCACCCCCCATTGTCCTCATGCATAGGTGCAGTTGATGTTCAGTCTCTTCCTGCAACCCCCACTCCCCCTTTCCCTGAGAATCATCAGTTCACTCCCCTTCCATACCTCTGATTCTATTATATTCACCAGTTAATATTGTTCATCAAATTTTTTAATTCCCTTTGTTTTTAGATTCACTTGTTGATAGTTGCATATTTATTGTTCATAATTTTAATCTTTATTTTCTTCCTCTTCCTAAAGAACCCCCTTCAGCAATTCATATAATTCTGGTTTGTCGGTGATGAACTCCTTTAGCTTTTTTTTATTTTATTAGTGAAGCTCTTTATCTGGCCTTTGATTCTGAGTGATAGTTTTGCTGGGTAATTTTTGGTTGTAGGTTCTTGCTATTCATCACCTTGAATATTTCTTGCCATTCCCATCTGGCCTGCATGGTTTCTGTTGAGAAGTCAGCTGACAATCATATGGGTGCTCCTTTATAGGTAACTACCTGCTTTTCTCTTGCTGCTTTTAATATTCTCTCTTTGTCTTTTGTTCTTGGAACTTTAATTATGATGTGTCTTATGTGGTCCTCTTTGGATTCCTTTTGTTTGGGGTTCTGGGCGTTTCCTGGACTTGTAAGTCTAATTCTTTCACCAGGTGGGGGAAGTTTTGTCACTATTTCTTCCAGTATGTTTTCGGTATCTTGGTCTCTCTCTTCTTCTGGGACCCCCATAATTCTGATGTTGGTTCGCTTGAAGTTGTCCCAGAGGTTTCTTACATTATCTTCAATTTTCTGGATTCTCTTGTCTTCTTGCTTCTGTGGAGGAGTGTCTTCTGGCTCTTTATGTTCCAAATATTTGACTTGTTTCTTGCGATCTTCCTTTCTGTTTTTAGGACTCTGTATGATATTTTTTTATTTTAGACAATGTATTCTTTATTTCTAGTTGATCCCTTTTCATATCCTCATAGGTCTTGTTTATTTCATTGGCCTTTTCTAGAAAATTCTTGAAAAACCTTATAAACGTGGTTTTGAACTCTATATCCAGTCGCTTTAGTCCTCCATTTCTTTCATTTGTGAGGTTTCCTTGTCTTGGCATTTTTACTGCTTCCCTGAGTTGGTAGGGTGGCTTTGTGTGCTAAGGTGTCCTATATGGTTCAGTGGGTCAGTCTCCCAGTTACCTGAGGTGGGCACTCTTGGTGCCCCCGTTTGTGGACTGTGTGTATAGCCTTGTTGTAGTTAAGTATTGATTGTTGTTGGTATCACTGGGCGGAACTGACCTCCAGGCCAATTGGCTGTAAGGATCAGCTGTGTCTATGCCAGGGGACAGCCTTATTTGACTAGACTTGGAAAATTGCAAAAGCCTCTGTGCTCAGCTTGGATGGGGTGGAGCCTACAGCTTTGGCTTACCCTTAGCCCCACCCTATGAGGTTCCTGAGTTTCAGTGTTCCTCAGTGTCCTTTGGTACTCGCTGCAAGCACCTCTGAGAAAGGTGCCCTCAAATTTCGCCTGCAACCGAATAATCTAGGTTCTCCCTCAGAGCCCAGAACTGGGGTTTAGTGCAGTTGAAGTGGGGTTCAGAGCAGTCTGGAGCTTTTGTCTCCTTCCCACTAGGGCAATCCAGCAGCACAGTCAGCAATCCGTCTTCTGTGCGCAATGTGCGTGCCTCCAGGACTTCCTTTCACCGCTCGCCTGAGTTTCTGCCTTACAGCCCAGACTCCCTCCGTATGAGCCTGGGTCCCTAGGATCTTGCCCAGAACTGGGGTTCAGTGCAGTCGGAACTGGGGCTCAGCACAGTCCAGAGCTTTTATCTCCTTCCCGCTAGGGAACGCCAGCCAGGCAGTCAGCTGCCCCTCTCCGGCTCCGTCCTCTCCCCATGTGCACACTGCATCTCCGTACCTTAGGCTTTTACGGCTCCTCTGATTTTCCTTCTGGTTTTCTCTTTCCTTCTAGTTGTAGAATTTCCAGTCAGTCAACTTTCCTGTAGTTCTGGATAATGTCCATTTTGTATTTTAGTTGTATTTTTTTTAAATTTGTTTTGTGAGGCTGCAGTTAGGCGTTTACTTATGCCGCCATCTTGGTTTCTCCCCCCCCCCCCCTTTTTTTTTTCCTTTAAAGAAAGTTTACAAGGGATGAGGTTTGGGAACTTGTCTCCTTCCCCGAGCACAGTGGGGTCAGTGTCAGCCTGTCGCCCTGGGGAGTCCGGGATGCCAGGCCGCTGCAGCCACGCTCCTTCTGCTCCTTTCCAGCAGCGCCCGAGGTGGGGGCATGTCGATCATGCTGGAGCTCAATCAGTCCAGAAACAGACTTTACTATAAAACTGACAGCATTCAATAACACTTACCGTATTTTTCGGACCATAAGACGCACTTTTTCCCCCCCAGAAGTGGAGGTAAAAGTCCCTGCGTCTTATGGTCCAAATATAGCCTACACATATACTTTAAAAAAAAAGTTTTTTTACTTGCCCGGCTCTGTGTGGTCTCTGTGTGCTTGCCCGGCTCTAAAATGGTTCTAAATGCTGCTGTTTACTTTACAGGGCTGATTACATGTGTTTATGACTGTGATGTTGGGTTTTAATGCACATAAAATATTTTAGGACACTATTTGTTTCAGAATCTTTTTTTCTTCATTTCCCTTCTCTAAAAACTGGTGCGTCTTATGGTCCGGAGCGTCTTATGGTCCGAAAAATACGGTACTCAAATAAAACGAGATCAAGTCATTACGGAGTATTTTTTTCATTTTATTTTTTTACAAATGACAGGCCTACTCAGTCATTTTATTCAGTTTATTTAAATAAGGATAAGGCTACTTAAAAGACTTTTTACATACAAAAAAATGTACATTACAAGGTTAAACTTTCTGTACTCAATTACAAAACCTGTACGAGCATTTAATAAAAGAGCACACTTAAAAATATGTGAAGTCCCACAGTAGAGAACAGAGGAGGCTCTGACATACATGTGATTTAAGCTACTGGCAGTTTTACTTAATGTAAGTTTTAAAAAGGTCACTGCTATTGAATGAGTCTCTAGATCAGTTTAGAATTGTTTCTGAAAACTTAAGCAACCAAAATATTACTTCAAAAAAATAATTACAATTCTGAGGAACTTGAATATAGCAAAAACAGCAGCCTCACGGCAGAAGCTGAACCAGCTTCCCACAGGCCTGGCTGCGGAGCGTGGGGCGCCGCAGCCGCAGCCCCGAGGCCGTGCGCCTGGCCCCGGGCTGGTACTCAGAGCTCTCGCGCAGCCCGATCTCCCGGCTCAGGGCGGACCGGGCGGGCTCCGCCGCAGCGAATGAGCAGGCCCCGCTGTGTGACCACGCCTGAAGCTCAGGATGTACAGAAAGGAGGAAGGAGATGAAGGCAAAGAACATGAAAATGTGGGAAAGGAAACATGAGCAAGGAAAACGGGGAACCAAGAGGGGGAGGAAGAAAAGAACGAGACCACCTGGCAAGGGCAGGCAGCGGTCAAGTGCCTGTAACTCCACCTCAGAGGCCACCCTCTGACACCAATGCCATTCGCCTTCCTGCCCCAACAAGAAGCACTGGCTCTCCTGGACGACAGAATCGAGAGCAGCAACAGTAACCTGTGTCAGGGAGTACAGAGGATTCCGAAGTTGTCAGCCATTCAAGGCCTTCTCAGCTCCAAAGCTCACCAAAGCAACACCCCTTCCCGATTCCCGTCCGCCCTGGCAGGCTTGGCGGGCTCGGCGGGCTGCTCCCGCACGGAGACGTGGAGGACGGCTCGCTGCACCGGAAGGCACCCGCTCCGGGAGGTTGGTGTCTGGGCCACACAGACCCAGCTTAGCTCCTCCACATTTCAAACTCAAAGTAGGTCGAGAACATGCTGCTATATGAGCGCTGACTCTGAATGTTCATAATATAAACTTCAATTTGAAGCAACAATGTTACACAGTTCAGCTGTTAATACCAACCTACTTCGTAAGTTAAATATACAAATTAAAAATTAATTTTCTGAATAACTAAAAATAAGTTTCCACTGACTTAAAACTGTCAAATGGCTAATTCTCCCTTAACTAAGAGAGAAATGCAGATGAAAGCAGAAGGAACAACTAAATAAATGTCATTCTATCCTAAAATCTGCACTTTTCAAAATGTCCCTTAACATAGTTATACATCAGCGCTGCAGACAACTGCGTATTTAATGATTTACCATAACATTAACAATTTATGCAACACTCAGATGCATCCACTTTGTCTTATGTGAACAGATGCAGGCTGGAGGACAGGACTGAAACCACAGGGTAAAGTTTCAGTACAGCCTTCACCAGCACGGTGGAATTCCTTCTTCCTAAGGCTATTCAATAGCTCCATTAAAATGCTTGTTTTCACAAATCCAAGGAGGAATGAGACTGCTCTAAAAAGTACTGAAAAGACAAACCCCAATTTGAAGATCAATCGTACAAGGGAGAAAGTATAAGGGACAAAGTATCAAGTGTTCGCGCACTTGGCTAAAAACACACGGTAGAAAAGTGAACACTGGAACTCACGAGTGTGAGGAATGACCTTGCTCACTGACTCAATTATGCCGCTGGAACAAGACCACTCAGCACACACCTCAGAGATGCCGCGGGACAGCCCTGTGGGCAGCGAGCGCTCTGTGCTGCACCAGCAGGGACCCGGCCAACTGGCCCTCTGTGCTGTCACTGGTCCTGACTTCCGTCCTGCCCCTCCTGTGCCGGCCGATCGGGGTCACACCGAGGTTCCCCCTGCACCACCATGCTACACTCCTGGACTCTCCTAACTTCTACAATTCCTCCTCCTCTTCCTGTTCACTACTTCCTGCCAACAGGCACCACCCAACACGATTCCTTCACCTGGAGGCTCTCAGTCTGCCTCAGTAAGCTCCTGGAGGGAGAGCCCTGAGCCGATGAGCTCAGCCGCTCCTGAGAAGAGTAGGAAGGACAGCTGTGCGACACGGACATCCTGAAGGGTGGGCCTGGGCAACCCTGACCAGTCCACTCATGAGAAACCAATTCTGTTCTGACTTCAAGGGAAGGAGCTACTAGCAAGCACTTAGGGAACAGCAAGTTTATCTGAATAGTCTGAGTAGCTTATTGGCAGCGAGGCAAATATGCTTTCCTCGGTGAACTTCAAGGATGAAAGGGCAGTATTTACTAAAATACTGTGATGAGCTGTTATATCCTTTTGCTTGGGAAAAGAAAAATTGTGAACTTCTAAATATTTGAGTAAAAAAAAAAAAAATCTCAAAGTTCTCTAAAGACTGAAACAGATAATGAGAATAATTCCTAAAATTCATCAGATGCTTTATGATACACCAGACTTGTAGCTTCCTGATTTGACTAGGGTCAACATAAACGACTTATAGTAAGCCATTCATTTAAAAAGAAATTCCTTCCGCCCTGGCTAGTGTGGCTCAGCTGGCTGGGCGTCGGCCGTGCAAAGAAAGGTTGCTGGTTCAGTTCCAGGTCAGGGCATGTGGCCCAGCTGCGGGCTTGATCCCCAGTAGGGGGCGTGCAGAGGAGGCAGCCGATTAACATTTCTCTTACATGGATTTTCTCTCTCTCTCTCTCTTTCTCTCTCTCTCTCTCAAATCAATAAAAACATATTTTTTTTTTTTAAAAAAGATAAATTCTTACCCAATCAGGGAATAAAAGGCAATTTTTTTCCTTTCAAATGGAGGGAGGAAGGCAGGGAGAGAGGAAAAGACTTTATTCTTTGAACCTAATTTTAAACCTTTAGAAATTTTTCAAAATAATCAAGCTCTCTATAAATACTGTCAATATATGTGAACTGTTTGAAAACTACAGTTATATTTACATTTTTGGAACCTTTCCTTCATGGCCATGTAACGTGTTGTATCTTCCTCTTTGCTTCTGGGGGTTTCTGGTTATCCTAAAATAACATAAACAGAAATCAGTTTATACTTACAAAAGTGTCAGAGAACTGAATGACTATTTTTAAACCACCAAGGTTTACTACCAACATACACATGGTAGATCCCTGCTGCCATCTAGTGGAGAGACCTTAGATTAGGAAAAAAAGCAAGCCGCCTTGGCTCCCACTTTTCTAGCTGTGGTTCTCAAAGGTGTGCACCTTAGAATCGCCCGGGGCACTCACAAGCATGTCCGGACCTGGCCTATCCCAGGACCAATCACATGCGAGGAGGCTCTGACCCTGACTTTCTGAAGCTCCTGTAGGTGGCCCTAGGGTACTCAGGGTTGGGACCACTTACTGCTCCTGGGCTGCTTCCCCCTGCAGAGCCCATGTCCTCCCTCAATCTCACACTCCAAGACCTTAACAGGAGAATGGATTTCTTTTTTTTTTTTTTTTAATCATACCTTGGAGCCTAGTGTGTAGCTCAGGTGGGTGGAGTATCTATCTACCCACACACCAAAGGGTGGCAGGTTCAATTCCTGGTCAGGGCATATATGGGAGGCAACTCATCAATATTTCTCTCTCCCTCTGACCCTAAAATTAACAGAAAACATATTTTTGGGTGAGGATTAAAAATAATTAAAACCATACCTCTGAAAGAAAAATTTTGAGAAAACGTTTTCTCAAAAAAAAAAAAAATCCTTGAAGCTCACTCCTCACTGTAGTATTTGAGGGTGGATTCCTCTTCCCATTCCTACCCCCTCTTTCCTGCTAAGGTGACCGAGTTAAGTGTGGAGGCAACATGGTGCCATAAGAGCATGTCCTGGGGCCAGGTGTGAATTCTAACTGCAATCTGGCTGCTTATTAACTCTGCAACCCTGGACACAAGTTTATTTAAATTATCCAGTCTTTTTCTCATCTGTGAAATGGAAATAACTGTTGTGTCTACATCACAGGATTACTAAAAGGATTCAAAGAACTAATGTAAGAATTTAAGGATGGTTGGATACACAATAGCTTTCTTTTTCTAGAGTATACTATTTTAGATTGAACTACTGAGTTTTGATCCCTTTGACACACAATTTGGAGATAATAAACCCAAGTATATACTACAAAAATGTGCTACAGATTCAATGTCAGTGTCCCCTCTCAAAAGTCGTATTAAAACTGAGCTCCCAATGTGGTATTTGGAGGTGGGGCCTCTGGGGTGATAGTTAATGGCAGAGGAGCCCTCATGAATGGGGCTGAAGCTTTTATACAAGAGACCCAGAGAGGGGCCTGTCCCTTCTGCCACGTGAGGTCCCGGACAAGCAACTATGAACCAGGAAGAGGGCTCGCACCAAATCTGCCAGGGCTGTGGTTTTGGACTTCCCAGCCTCCAGGGCTGTGAGAAATAACCGCTTGTTGCTTGAGTCATCCAGTCAATGGTACTTTTTGATAAACAAAAGTTATAAAACTGCTGGACCTTTACATAATCTCATAAATTGAACTCTAAATAAACTGTGTAACTGTATCATGTTTTCCAGCATCTAAAATGCTTAAGTTCAGCAGAACACAACGTAGTCGATTCCTCCAAGTGCCCTCTACCCTCAAAGGAAGGGACATTTAAGGGGCAGGGGAGGCAAGTGGTAAATCCTAGAGTGGCTTCAGTGAAGTGCAAAACAATGTGACCCTGCACCAATTACTTAACATGCCGAGCCTTGCTAACAAGAGTATTTCTTTCTGCCCTAGCCGGTTTGGCTCAGAGGAAAGAGCGTCGGCATGAGTCTAGCATGGGTTCGATTCCGGTCAAGGACACATGCCTGGGTTGCGGGCTTCATCCCCCATGAGGGGTGTGCAGGAGGCAGCCAATCAATGATTCTCTCTCATCACTGATGTTTCTACCTCTCTCCCTCTCCCTTACTCTCTCTTTACACATTTTAAGCAGGAAAAAAAACCTGCGTGTACTTTTAAGAAAGCATCAGTTTATCAACATGGATTTATGAGAAATGAGATGTGAACATCGGACAGATCACGTGAGGGCTAACGACCGGCCTGCAGCAGTGACTACTCAGAGCCCTCGCTCCCTTCCCATGAGCGTGGGACCCGCCCACTCACCGCGGCCTCGGCTTCTTCTTTCGGAGCAGCTCGCTTTAGCTTCACCGGCGTCGTTCCCACGGGGGACAAAGGACTTTTCCCATGCGCTAAGTCATGGTTCTGTTTAGTGTCATTGTTACTGTGTTCCGTCTTATTGTTCACGGGCAAATTGGAAGACAGAATTAGGGGTGACACACTCGAAGAGGAACTGGATAACTTTCGAAAGGCATTACTGGTAGCGCCTGCCTGAGGCGGAGGCTTGAGTCGATCATTGTCCCCATTCTCCGTCTTTCTCACTTTTATGCTTGTACTTGTCGAACTTCCGTCAAACACAATGAGAGGTCTCTTCTTTGACACATCTCCACTGCTGCTCCTGAAATCAGAGACACAGCTTCATGAAAGATGCCATCTGGAATGGATGGCAAAGCAGTTACTAGGATGTAAAGTTAAAACAAACAATGACCCCAAAAAATTTACTGATAAGACGAATCTATTGTAAGTAGGGCCAATGGGAAAGAAATTTTCTTTTACTCTCTAAATGAAATAACAATTTTCTGGTGCTTTAAAGTTTAAATATTTGTTGACATGATATTTAAAGAGAGTGTTGTTGTATACACAAGAGTGTTATTTTTAAAACATCAATTGACCAACTAACCCTAAAAGGTAGAACAGAATTTCCTAGCAATTAAAAATTCTTTTAATTTTTAAAAATCACCATCTTAGCCGAAACCGGTTTGGCTCAGTGGATAGAGTGTCGGTCTGCAGACTGAAAGGTCCCAGGTTCGATTCTGGTCAAGGGCATGTACCTTGGTTGCGGCACATCCCCAGTAGGGAGTGTGCAAGAGGCAGCTGATCGATGTTTCTCTCTCATCGATGTTTCTAACTCTCTATCTCCTCCTCTCTGTAAAAAATTAATGAAATATATTTTTTTTAAATCACCATCTTATTGATAGGGTTATCTTGACCATGCACTACTATTTAGAAAGGATAATAAAATACAAAACTATACCAAGATGACCATAGCAGCAGTCTATATACAACGATATGGAGCATTCTGCTCCATTCATGAAGGTCGCTTAAGCCAAGGCATTTTCTACAATAACTGGAACTGTAACATCTGTTTGATTTGAATTTTAAAATTCAGCTTCTGAAAAGCTAATTTCCACTCTTAATTGTAAAGATAATAAAAGCATTTCATTTGTTCAATGAACAGGTTTATGATTTAAAAAAAAAAAACCTTTTATTTAAACAAGCTTAGCAGGAAGAACTCTCCAGCCTTGCTACACAAAGTGTGGTCCAGGGACTAGTAGCATCTGTGGTATCTAGGGAGCTTGTAAAAAATTCAGACTCTGCCTTTTATCCAAATCCCAGGTGATTAGCAAAATTCACCGACAACCATTTGACAGAAGATGAAAAATAAACCCAGTGGAATCCACTGCCACTGCAGGAGGCGAACAGGACTGCGAGCAGGCGCCATGAGAGTTCAACCTCAGAGCAAGGGGCGCCTCAGGCCTGAGCAGCACTGCAGTGAACACTGTCCAGCTCGGTGGGACCAGGCACGTCACAGCACTTCTCCAGAGCTCAGTTCTTCCAGAGATGAGACAGCAGGCGACTCAGTAATGCTTGGTGATCTTAGATCCTTTCAGCTTTAGTGCTCTGATACTGGAGTCAAATTGTGATTTTTAAAAACAGAGCCAAAGATCCTTTCAAAGTGACTGTGAGGGCCTAAAAGAAGCCATCATATGAAATAAAGTATGTCAGGATTGAAAGCTTTGCCTAAGACAGTGGTTGGCAAACTGCGGCTCGTGAGCCACATGTGGCTCTTTGGCCCCTTGAGTTTTTAGAAAAAGCCAACTTAGGAGTACCCTAATTAGGTCAATAACAATGTACCTACCTATATAGTTTAAGTTTAAAAATTTTGGCTTTCAAAAGAAATTTCAATCATTGTACTGTTGATATTTGACTGAGTTTGCTGACCAATGGCCTAGGACACATGTGTCAAACACAAGGCCCGCGGGCCAAATCCGTCCCGCCAGGCCTTGCAATGTGGCCCGCACCGTGCTGTCATCACTGCACTCCGCTGCGTTTCCATCACAATGACAGTTTATGACTGTTCAGTAAACCATTCGGCCCGCGATTTAGGCTGGATTTTAGATTTTGGCCCCTTCTCTGATTGAGTTCGACACCCCTAGCCTAGGACAATGTGCCTGAATGTGCAGATAAAGAATACTTTCCCAGTAAGAGTCAAAGAAAGTAAATGAAAGATATGCACAGCATAATCCAAATTTATGAAAGTTGACACTAATACACAGCCTGTACCAATAAGCAACCAGCGAGCTAACTGATGCTCAATCTGAACCGCATGTGTTCCTGATCAAAAGTGGGACTGCACGCTTATTTACTTTCCAAAAGACTCTGAGCACGTGTGCCCATTATTCCTCAACTATTCTACTCCTTGGAGAATAACCTCCCTATTGGTCATGAGTTTTTCTTCATTCTTCACAATGAGTAAAACCAGGAACCAGAGTGAGCATCCTGCCCTCACTCCATCACTACTGCACTGCCCGTGCCAGTACCTTACCAACAGAAGGCCTCGAAGAAGATTCAGTAATCAATAACACCCACTTGCCATGTAAGTGACATAGGAAAAGAAACTAGCTCACTTAGGGATCTCTGGGTACTTTGTCCTCATTAACTAACCAACCGTACTGATTAATCACATGTACCTTTAAATGGGAAATTCATCTGCTGTGGTTCTAAAAACACTTTCCTGGAATTTAGAAATCTGAAATAGTGTCCCTGAAGCTGTATGAGTCTCTCCATTTCTGTATTATTCAAACACCTTAGAGTCTTGATTCTATTTTTTCTCACAATTCAGCACATGTTGTTGGCTCTGGCTCTGCCTAAAATACATCCAGACCCAACCACTTCTTATCAAGTCCAGTGCCACCTCGGCCAGTCTCCACCAGCTGTTGTCTGGATCACTGCAGTCTGCTAAGTGGTTTCCCCGTCCCTCCCCCACCTTCAATCACTTCTCAGCATGGCAGCCAGCATGACCCTGTTAAAATGCACTTCAGATGGTGTCACGACTCTGCTCAGAACCCTCCACTGCCTTCTCAACAGACCAGACACAGTTCTCACAATGCCTCACAAAGTTTTCTGTGATCGACAGTCTCCACTCACCCCAGTCAACCTCACCCCCTCGCCCTCTGAATCTCCCCGCCCAGCCTGTGGTCTCCTGCTGTTCGAGGGCACTCTCCTGACCCGTTACTGCATTCTGCCTGGAATGCTAGCTTGCTCACTACTCGCTACGTCTCTCTACTGAACTGGCATTTCTCAATGAGGCTGTTCCTGGCCACGTTAACTAAAACTGTAAATCCTCTCACTGTTTTTTCTTCTGTCATGATGTAACATACAATATATTTTACTCAATTTTTTATTATGTTCCTTCATATTAAAATATGAGCAAGAAATTTTGTCAGTTTTATTCATGGTCTATGGACAGTGCCTGGTGCTCAATAAATAGTTGAGTAAATGAAATCCTTTTTACCTAAATTTACCTAGGGAGGGGGGGGAAAAGGCAAAATTGTTTAGTCCTAGCCGGAGCCGGTTTGGCTCAGTGGGTAGAGCGTTGGCCTGCGGACTGAAAGGTCCTGGGTTCGATTCTGGTCAAGGGCACATACCTTGGTTGCGGGCACATCTCCAATGGAGGGTGTGCAGGAGGCAGCTGATTGATGTTTCTCTCTCATCAATGTTTCTAACTCTCTTTCCCTCTCAATTCCTCTCTATAAAAAAATCAATAAAATATGTTTTTTAAAAAATTGTTGAGTCCTATAAGATGAAAACCAGAAGCATTAAAAAGTACCTTTTAGTCTCGTTTTTTAGTTCATGTTGCTCTCTTTTCTTTTCCATCATTTTCCCCCATCTGTTCTTTGGCAAATCTCTCTGAGGCAATGGTATTGCATGTTGGACATACAGATCAGTAAGATTGTCTTTGTTTATTCTTATATCATTTTCAACAGCTATGTTCTTCTGTGGGAAAGAAAACAAAAATAATTTCAAAACAGCATCCTACTTTTAACAACTAACCAACTACCTACCTAACAGGGCAGAACATCACTGCTTAAATAAAAAACTATAAAACCATTGTTACAATTAGACACATGCTTGAGGGTCCTTTATAATACTGAAAAAAACAGTATTATAAATAGGTCAAGCTCTGGAAATATTAGGTTCAGCCTCATCTTAAAGGCAAAGGGCACATGTCCTCGGGGTGACCAGCACTGCTGGTGTGTAGCCACCATCCCAGGCAGTAAGAGCATGTCCACTGACATCCCTAACTTATGAAGAGAACAACGAAGGAAAATTAGAACAGAAATGTGGTCATGGGCTCACCTACAATTCTGAAAGGCTTGCAAACGCTTGTGTGTAATAGAACCAACTAAACAAATCCAATCCTTGCCCTCTGTTAAACTTTTTCCAATCCCTTTTTCCCTTAAAAACTTAAAAGCACAATTTTACTCCTTTTCTATCTTATACTAGATGGGCCTTTATATCAATTTTCACTCTATTCACTCACTCAGAGATGTGTGGAAACCCTGAGGGTCCTCTGAGATGGCATTCTGGTAGAATGCACTGGCCGGTTAGATAGGGAAGCACTGCTTAGGGGCAGAGGTGCTCCAACTGTGGTCCCTGAACTAGAAGCAAGAACTTGCTAAAAAAAAAAAAAAAAAAAAAAAAAAAAAGCAGATGTTCAGGCCACGCCTCAGAACTACTGACTCCGACAGAAAGGGGATGAATCTCGCAAAATACGTGTTTTAACAAGTCCTGTGGCGACTCTGCTGTGCCTGTTTGAGAAACACAGGCCAAAGGTAACTGGCATCACCAAAGCATAGGGCTTGGTGAGATTAGACAGAGATACAGTACTGAAGGTTCAAAAACAGAAGCAAAACAAAGTATTACACATAGGACCCCAAGGAAACGTTCAATAATTCTCTACCACTTTGCACAAAACATCACTTTTTGTCTTCTTTTTCGTCTACTATCAGCGGCCACAGTAGCTGAAAAGGAGCGAACGCTACCCCGAGAGCCCCGAACCCCGGACTCTCTTCCTGGCTGATCCCTCACCGCAATCGCGGTGGGTGAGCCGGAAGCCAGGCCGTGCACCTGCTGCCCTCCCTCCTCTGTGGCCGCGGGGAGCGAGCGGAGCGCGGGCCGTTCTCCGGTGCAGCCCGGTCCCCGACCCCGTCCCCGTCCCCGTCCCCGCCCCCCGCGACCCTCCCGTCCCCTCTTCCTGCTCATCACAGGCCGCGAGGGCCGCCGAGGACTCCTCTTTGCGAGCCATCAGGAACCCCAAGAGGTAAGTCCGAACCCCCGGGAATCCCTGATGTGCGGGACGGCTCCTTCGCGTGGGGGCGCGGGGACCGGGTCGGCCGGCGTGGAGTCGCCGGCCGGCGGAGTGTTCCCGCCAGGGCACCCGCCCCGGGCCCGGCGCCGACCTGCTCCAGCGTGAGCAGCAGGAACTCCCGGGACAGCAGCTCCGGGTGCAGCAGCAGCTCTGAGTCCGGGCAGCGGCGCCCGCCCGCGTCCCCCGCCATCGCCGTCGCCCGGACCCGCCGGCTACCCACAAGGCCCCGCGCAGGAAGCGTCCCGGAAGTGACGCGTGGGCGGGCCGAGCGTGTCATCCCCGGGCGCCGCGCGTGCGCTCCGGCGCGGGGCGGGGCCTGCGGGGTGGCGGGCGGGCTGCGGGGAGTCCGCCCTGGGGGACTGGGGAGCAGAGGTGTCTGCGGCGGCCGGAGGAGAGCGCGGGAGCGGGGCCGCCCTCCGCCGCGGTGGCGGCTCGCTGTCCCGTGGTCTGCAGTTTGCGCTAACACGCTCACTGTGCTGAGGCCCGGGACGTGGTGCGGGCGCCGCACAAGCAGGTGGAAAGTGAACACGGTGCAGGGCGCCCCGAGGAGAATTTATGGTTTAGGGGGCGGGAGGGCTGCACAGCACCGCCCCGGGGGCACGGGGTGGTCGGCGGCAGACCTCGGCGCTGGAGTTCCATCTCTGCAGTCACCGCGGGGACTGTCGGCGGGGCTGGGCGGGGCTGGAATGCAGGCGTGCGGTCTGTGGCCCGAAGCTTACTAATGGCCCTTAAGGATCACATTGCCCTACGGTCCTAACATTTCCCCCCCTTCCTATCTGTTAATAATTATTCTTAATGGAATGGGGCAAAGGTCTCTTCTGTCCGTGGGCCCAAGGGACTAGGCCCACTGGTGCTGTGGACAGGGGTGTCTGAATAAAAGTTACTCCACACATCAGAAACCAACCAGTTAACATTTTATTTAAAATAGCTTTACTTGAGATAGTAATGTTTATTGCATGTAACATTATATTTAAAATCGTTTTTCTTTAATTTAAAAACGACAAAAATCAGATGGCAGCTTAGTATGTCCATTACTATAAGGGAGAGTGAAATTATAATCATATTGTAGTGGTTAGATACTGAAAGACAGTAACTAGGTCACCTGGGAAGTCAGCCGTTAGCCACAGGGAGCTACTGCAGCATCCTTTAGAGAAAACATCCTGCATCTTGTTAACATAACATTCAAACCTGTAAGGAATTTCTGTGAGTTTATTTGGGCCAAACTAGCCACAATTGCCGGGAACTAGAGTCTCAACATACTGGGATAAAGCTCCAGAGAAGGGCGATTTTTCATCTATTTTTATACATCGCAATCAAAGGAGGGGACATAGGTGGGTTACATGAAATCCATTGGTGATAGATTAGGGAGGCAGGAGAAAGCAAAGTGGTGGGGTGGGGGCCTCTGGGATTGGATAAAGAGTAAAATGATAGACACCTACCTCTTTTATTCAGGTGGGTGCAGGAGAGTAACAGTCAGCAGTTAACAGGATGACAACAACAATGAAGGAAGTGGTAGTCTCTGTCCTGGTGCCCAGGCACATTCGGTTATGCCTGAAGGGTCCAGGAAAAGGGAAGTTACAAGTTACCCTGACATTTCGCAAGGATGTTATCTTAGATGCAAAAAGACAGATAGGCTCAATTAAGATAAAGATTGACCTTTATTAGGGAAGATATTGGCCCAGGACATGTCTACCCATTATAAACTGCATGTAGTTAAAGTTTCAATTTTAGACCATCCTTTATGGTTACTTTAGGACTTTTGAGTTTGCAAAACCGCCATGCAGGCCTTCCCTGAGTTTGTCAGGTCAGCATGTGTTTTTCATCCACAGTCCTTTTCCCGGACAGTGGGTGCCAACACATAAAGGCCCCATATGGGACTTTATTCCCAAAATGAATAGAATAATTCTGTATGTTAGCAATAGGTGTCCCAACTCCCACTAGGCAGGATGGAAAGGTCTGTTCTCCATAGGTTTCTCCTTGAGGTGTTTCTTAGGTTCAGTCCCTCATTATTCCCTTTCTAGTCCCCTCTTCACTCTGGTGTGAAGGATCCAGGGCTTCGGAGCATTTGGAGTGTGAGAAGCACGTCCCTGGGTCCCGGCCATGTTGATTGTCTTGTGATCTGGCTTTCCATGTTTTGAGTAGAATTTTGTCTCCTGCTAAGAAGGGATGTGGAGAGAAAAAAAGTCTGTAGCACATGCCAAATCATTGCCCAAGGCTGAGGACACAATGTGGAGTGACCTGGGAGGTAAAAGCTGGTCCTGAGGCAGCCATAGTGTCCCTCACCTGGTTTTGCTGTTTTTCTTGGCTTGGAGCTGAAATACAACTGAGGCCTAGAGAGGAAAAGGTCTCGGGTTTTATTATTTATTTATTTATTTATTAAAATATATTTTATTGTTTTTTTACAGAGAGGAAGAGAGAGGGATAAAAAGTCAGAAACATCCATCAGCTGCCTCCTGCACACCACCCACTGGGGATGTGCCCGCAACCAAGGCACATGCCCTCAACCGGAATCAAACCTGGGACCTTTCAGTCTGTAGGCCAACGCTCTATCCACTGAGCCAAACCAGTTTCAGCAGGTCTCAGGGGTTTTAAAAGAGCTGGGGTGCAAACCACAGGACCAGTGATATGCTAGGGGAGGATAGGTTACCCTGGGGCGAGGTTCTTGTTTTCTCAGTTTTGCCCCTTGCTGGGAATCCGGCATCCAGGGCTTTTGGCCTTAGTGAGTTGCCATACCTAGCCCATCGTCCTTGCTCTGGGGGTCTAACAGTAGGCACTCAAGTATTTATTCACTGAAATAATTCTCCAGTTAACCTGCTCACGTATAAAAGTAACTGAGCGCTGATGACAATGTCCAAATATTAGTTAGATATTGGCTGTGCCAGGAACTGCATTTGTATAGATCGCTGGTCCCTCGGAGCAGCCTTCTGAGGTGCAGAGTACTGGGATGCTTATTTTTTTTCATATGGGAAATCGGGCATTTGAAAGAGGTAATTTGCTCAAGATCAGAAAATGAGAAAATAGCAAGACCAACATTCAAGTACATTTTGTTTGCACTTATAACTGAAAGGGCAGGGTGGGGCTAACTCCTCAGAATGAAAGGGCAGGGCGGAACTCCTGGTAACTGGACCCTAGCCCTCATCCAACCAATCAGGGTGAGCCAAAGCAGTGACATCACCACCCCTATAAAACCCCTTGATCTGTTGAAGCTCCGGCTCTGTTGGTGTAAGTGGGACTGAGCCCGTGCTAGCATGGAACAGGCTTTCTGCTATTGCATCGGACTCGGCTCCCTGGTGGTCCTTGGGGATCAAGAAATCTGGGCATAACAACTACAGTGAAGTAGTAGTTTTAGTTTAAACGGAATCTAGTAGTGTTATGATCTAAACTCTAGTAGTTAATTTATTGAAAAATCTTTCCTACTTCTCTTTCATCTTTTGTGGAGGGGATATACATCCCAAAACGACTTGCACATTTAAAACTTAAACTTGCAGACAGTTCTCAAAGCTGTGGCTTGCATCCTCTATAATGTATTGTTTTATTGGAAGTGGTTACAGTGTCTAAAAAGATCTGAGGGTGCCAAAAGATAAACCTTGAAAGGGAATTGGAAAATTAGTGAGATGCTAAATCAAAAGTCAAGATAAAGTTGAGAGGTGTCTTGCAATTTTTAATAATCCTTTATGTATATGGTGCTTTATCTAGAACTTGAATTTCAGAGCAGGACAGAATTAAAAGGTCAGTCCTTCCCTTTCAGTCCTGAGGAAGTGGCTCTGAAGGAGATGAAATGGCGGGTCAAACTGCACAGTTTCAGAGCTGAGCTGAGCAGGTGTCTGGTGTCCTTACGGGAGCTGAGTGATTTAACTTCATGGTATGAGCATCCTGGCATGCCGTGTCCAACACCTGATTTGATTGTCATGATAATAGTGCAATTAGTTTGGCTAGCACTATCCCCATTTCCTCCTCCAAAAGGCACATACATCGTGTTAGTGGCAAAAGCAACTGCCTTGAAGGGAGCCTTGGAGACTGGACTTCAGTTCAGATTTTGTTCTGCTGCACTAAGGCCTTAAGTGAGTCACTCAAGTCTCTGAGCTGTCTTATCAGAAAAATGCTCTGCCAACACCTTCCACAAAGAATATCTAAGGAGCAGAGATTCTGTAACACACGTGGGCCTTAGGAGGTAGCTCAGTTGATTAGAGCAGCGAGGAAAAACGCCAAGGTTGAGGTTTGATCCCCCATCAGGGCACATACAAGAATCAACCAATGAATGCATACATAAGTGGAACAACAAATCGATACCTCCCACTTCTCTCTTTCAAATCAATAAGTAAAACAACGAGCACACTTGACACAGTGTAGGTGCTTAATAAATGGTAGCTGGTTTTGAGAAATATGTCATGTCTTCCCACTTAGCCTCCTCACCTGTGAAGTGGAAATAACACACCTCATAGTGTTAAGAGGTTGGAGCTGACGTCTGAGCCCTTGCCTCCCCGGAGGCCTGTTGTAGGCCCTGACTCAGCAGAGGAGAGAGGGGGCAGCGTGGAGGGGAGCGGGGAGAAGGAGCTTCAGTCCTGAGATGGGAGAGGTCCTTGCTGTGCGCTCCCTCCCAGTGGTGCTCTGGACGGCCCCCTGCCCTGTGTACGTCCCACTTTAAAATGAAAAGTACTTCCCGGTTTCAAATCCAATCCATTAAGGTCATTCTAGGTGTCTCTGAGCTAAAACCTTAGGGTACCGGCCGTGTCTGCTGAGGCGGGACAATACCCAGGTTCAGAGAGGAGGAAGTAGAATGAGATCCGGACCCCTCTCGGGAGGAGAGTCCTCTCCATCCGGCAGAGCCCGGGAGCGTGGAGCCTCAGTGTATTTGCAACCTGCTGTCTGGGTTTCAGCCAGTGTTTCTGCGGTGGGAATCTGGGAAGGGGAGGATTTTCCTTCCCAAGAAGTTCTGGTGTTTCAAATATGCTGGCAGCAGGGCCGCCTCCCAGCGGTTTCTGCCACCTCACAGGCAAGGAAGCCACCGCCCGGCCCTGACCCGCAGCCAGGCCGTTGCCATAACTGGAGGGCCAGACGGAAAACCAGCGCCAGAGACCAAGAACATCCAGAGTCCTGTGGGTGTCTGGTGTCTCTGCTTCCCATCGTGACACTTCAGAGATCCCTGATCTGGCACAGCCCTGAGGAGGGGGCAGGCCTCTGTGGATAAGATCATTGTTACGGCAGCCAAACGGGGGCTTAAAATAGAAATAAAGCTCAGTTACAGAAAAGTTATTCTATTTGTTACCCATTTGAATATGTAGACTGAAGTTGACTACTACAAAGTGTGTGAGTATCGTACATAACTATATTTTTAAGTTCAGAATTGTGAGAGTTTCTGCGTTGCCTGGATCTCGGGGTTGCATTCATTAACATTTTGGGGGCCTGTGGTTGGCAGACCTAAGCTGAGGGCAACAGCCGACACTGCCTTGCCTGGCACCCCCTCTTGGGGGGCGCCACTCCCCCCCGGCTGAGCTACCCCAGGACAGGGCCACACATGTGCTTTGAGTCTCCAGCCTGGTCACCAGCATGCAGCGAGTGGTGAGTAGGTATTGAATGCACCATAAGTGAAATACATACTGAGGACTTCGGGTGCTGATTCCTCTTGCCCATAATGTAATATTTAAGATGTTTACGTTACAAATATTTTACCATTAGTTGTCAAAAATATATCTGAGCATAAATCAAATTAAGAGCTTCAAAGTGAATGTAAAAATTTAAAAAACACTTTCCACTTGGGACCTGTATTTTTAGCTATTTAAAACAACAGTTCTGCTTTGAGTTTTAAATAACTACCTTTAGTACCATAATGATTATTAATGATCATATTTTTTACTATTGTCAATTCTCATCCCTTTTACAATCTGATTACCATAAAGATGCGTTAATGTACTTAAACTACCTACTGGCTTTTTTGTAAACCCATGAAGACACCTGTGTAGTGAGCTCCCTCCTCTTATTCCTGCCTCACACCCAGCACAGTGCCGTGCACACCGTGAGAACAACGTGTGACAATGAATGTCGGGAAATCTCCCCAGCTCCTCAGGCCCTTCCTGCCTGACCTCCCGATCACCACACCTCGAGCACATTCTGTGTTACTTTGGGATATGATCAGGAGAGCATTCCACAGGCCCCACGAATGCCACGGTGCTCTAAACTGAGCGTTAGTCACCTGGAGAGCTGGTCACCCCCTGTTTCTGACTTAGGAGGTTGATTAGGGCCTGGGAATTTGCACTTACAACAGCTCACTAGGTGATGTTGGTTTGCTGAACACCCTTCATGCTTTAGAAACCACTGAACTAAATTAAGCTCCCTGAGGTCAGGCTGTGTCCCATTTCAGTGCCCCAGCAGCCTCTGCCATAGTACCTGGCACGGAGGGGCTGCTTGGGAAAGAGTTGAGTGGAAAAACAGTTCAAAAGTTTATTTTATTGGATCTAGTTTACAAATACATGAACATGTGTGTATATCTTTAAATCAGCTAATACACGTAAAAGCTCCTAGAACATGTTTGCTAAAGAAAAAATCATAGCCCTGGCTGGTGTGGCTCAGCTGGTTAGGTGTCGGCCTGTGTACCAAATGGTTGCCGGTTCGATTCCCAGTCAGAGCATAAGCCCAGGTTTCCAGCTCAGTCCCCACTGGGGGATGTGCAGGAGGCAGCTGATCCATGTTTTACTCTCACACCGATGTTTATCTCTCTCTCCCTCCCTCTTCCTTTCTCTCTCTCTCTCTAAAAGTTAATAAAAATATTTTTAAAATAACAAATATAACCTTTCTTTGCTTAACCTCACATTCTAAACTGCTATCCAAACTAGATGTGTACTTGTAATGAGAGCTTATAAATTAGAGTAACAGAATCTTAGCATGAAAAGCCTCTTTTAATGATAGCCTAATTTATCTCTATCAGGAATTTTATTTATTTTTATACATTTGTGTGTTTTTTTAAAATACATTTTTATTGATTTCAGAGAGGAAGGAAGAGGGAGAGAGAGATAGAAACATCCAGGATGAGATAGAATCATGGATCGGCTGTCTCCTGCACACCCCTCACTGGGGATTGAGCCCACAACCTGGGCATGTGCCCTTGACCAGTATCGAACCTGGGGACCTTTCAGTTTGTAGGCTGATACTCTCTTCACTGAGCCAAACCGGCGAGGGCAGGAATTTTAAATGTTTGTTGGGTGCTTCCTACATGCAGATAGACACAGCAAAAACTTGATAGACACACCTGTCTGTAAGAGCTTACAGCCAGTGAGGAACCTTAAGTGTACTTGTGAGTGGGAGGATGTTACGTTTTGAGAGTAAAGGGCAATTATTAAGAGCATTCAGTTGTAGCTATTTAACTCTTAATCTTTATTAATCTATTAGAACACCACTTCACATGCTATACTTATAACATGTTTCGGATGGACCCAAGGGATATTGAATAAATATTAATATATATTAATAAATGAAGTTAATTAACAATTCCTTTGAGAAACATGGCTGATATTTCTTCTTAAATGTAATCAAGCTAATTTAGAATTAGTCCTGATGCAGATATTTTCATGGTTATGGAATAGTTAATTACATAGAAGCTCCTGTCATATGTGAAATAAATTCCTCAGAGTTCCAGGAAGCACAAATGTTTCAAGATGGAATATTGTGCATATGTGGAGTTTGACATTGTAAGAATCCTATGGTGAATCCTTTCATAAAGGAAATAATTATTTCTGAATTATTTTTTAATATATTTTATTGATTTTTTTACAGAGAGGAAGGGAGAAAGATAGAGAGCCAGAAACATCAACTAGCTGCCTCCTGCACACCCCCTACCAGGATGTGCCCACAACCAATGTACATGCCCTTGACTGGAATTGAACCGGGGATCCTTCAGTCCGCAGACCAACGCTCTATCCACTGAGCCAAACCGATTTCGGCTATTTCTGAATTATTTTTCTCTTTTTTGTTAATATACACTTTCACTCCTATATTGTTTAAAGCAGAACACTAAGTGTTATTCCACGAACTATTCAATCAATAGAACTTAATTTTATGCATATAAAAAATTCACTGGGTTTGAATTCTGGGTTTGTATCTTGTTCTGTCCTTACTACCATGGAATTTGGGATAGGCGATTCACTTATTTTTGCCTCAGTCAACTCATCTGTAAAATGGAGAGATTAATAGCGCTTTACTTGATAGGGACACCGGAGGCTTTAATGAGATAACCTCCGCCAGGCCCTTAGGCCAGCGTCCTCCCCTCAGTGGGTGTCCCCAGTGCGACTGGGTGCGTGCAGCTCTGCTCATGCAAATGTGGAGTCCTGGCCTCTGTCTGTGATTGGCTGCTCAGCACAGCCAGGTGGCCCGGTGGTTAGCTTTCCCCAGGATTGGTAGGTAGGTAGGTTCGTTCGTTCATGCATGCATTCACTCATTCATTCATTCATGCATTCATGCATGCATGCATTCATCAGCCAGTGTTTCCCGGGCCTCCCCGGTCCAGCCGGTTTGGTGTGAGAAAAGAGCGGCGAGCGAAGCAAGACCAGGCCGGCGTCCCGGAGCCGCGGCCGCGGGCGGAGCAGGTGCGGGAGGACCGCCCTCGCCGCTCCGCACGGGCTGCCGGTCTGTGCTTCCAGGAGCTCCGCACCGGCCGGCCCTCAGGACGCCCGCGAGTGGAGGGGAAGCCGCGGCCCGGCCCCGGCCGCCGCCCGGGGTTCTCTGGGCCGCGTGCGCCGGGAGCGGACCGGCGGGCGGCGCAGGGCCCGGCTCCCGCCCCGCGCAGGGCGCCGCCCCACGTGACGGGAAGCGGCGGCGCGGCCGGCCCAGCCCAGAGCCGCGGCCGGAGCGGCGGGCCCAGGCCCAGGGCCGGCGGGACGGGACGGCGCCGCCGGGGAGTGCGGGCCGGTGAGTGCGGGCCGCGGGGCGCGGGGCGCGCGGGGCGCCTGGGCGGGTGGCGGAGCGGGCGGGCGTGTGCGCGACAGCGGTGCGCGGGCATGTGCCTGTCAGATCCGGACGGGGTGCCGGAGGGGTGCCGGTGTGGGTGCCGGAGGGGTGCCGGTGTGGGTGCCGGAGGGGTGCCGGTGTGGGTGCCGGTGTGGGTGCCGGAGAGGTGCCGGTGGGGGTGCCGGTGGGGTGCCGGTGTGGGTGCCGGTGAGGGTGCGGGTGGGGGTGCCGGTGGTGTGCCGGTGTGGGTGCCGGTGCGGTCCCAGTGGGGTGCCGGGGTGGGTGCGCCCGTGCACACGCGGGGCAGGCGGCCGGGCGGGTCCCGGTGCGGGTGTGGTGGCGGGAGGAGGGGGTGTGTGCCCGGGAAGGTGTGAGACAGCCCTTGGTTTGGGGTGACTGCTGGTCCGGAGGGAGGACCCGGAGGACCGTGCCCCTGTGGAGCTGCTCAGCACAGCCAGGTGGCCCGGAATGTGGCTGGAATGAAGCTCCTGGGATCTCAGAGCCCAGTTCCGGGTCACGCCGCCGGACTTGTTGCGGAACTGGGAGGCCAGCGGGGTGCGGGGAGGAGGCAGAGACCTCGCCCGCTCCGCCCACGGTGTGCCTGTCCCGGCGGGGGGCCGGGGGGCCGGGCCCAGCTGCCTCTGGGTGTCCAGTGGGGGTGGCTCTGGAGGCAGAAGCTGCCCTCCGTGGCCAGTTGTCTGCCTGCCCTGTCATTGTTTCTGCTCAGGGGCTGCTGGGGACCCTCACCACGTCCCCAGCTGCTCTGGGCCCTGCCTGGCTGTGGAAATGGGGTTCACACAGTGCTTAGTGCAATGACTGTATGGGTGCTGGGTTTACCCCTGATGAATGCCCCAGTGGTTACAGCGACGGGGCAGGCACAGGGAAGGGGAGGAGGCTCCTGCAGGGAGCTGCCCCCCGGGCCAGCACTTTGGCACAGGGGCCTGTGGGTGCCGGCGTGCCCTCCTCCCAGACTTGCTTCTCTCTGTCAGCCAGAAGCTTCCAGCACTAGCTCACATAGGAAGGAACATCTGGCCAGCTGCTTCCTTTTTCCTTCCAATTGTGCCAGCCAAGCAGCCTCAGCAGTCACAAGAGCGGCCTTTCTGTGGTGTGGCCCTAGAAGCAGCCCTGACGGGACTCAGTGGCCGCTGCCTTCAACCAGTCCTTCCCAGGCCCAGTGTGTCTGCTTCCTGTGGGCTCCAACCTGGTTCTGCCAGTCAGTCCTGCACAGGCAAAATCTGTGTTTGGACTCCCCCAAACTTTGCTAGTACAATTGTCCTCGCAGACACCAAGTCCTCAGATTCTCAAGTCCCTTATATAAAACTAGGGGCCCAGTGCACGAATTCGTGCACTTTGAAAGCAACTGTGGGCTGTGGTGGGCACAGGGGCGGGTCTCGGCCCAGCCTCTGTGCCCCTGCCCAGCCCCTCCCACCATAACCCTGGTCCCCGCTTCTGCCACCACTGCTGACTGCGCAGAGCGATTGGGGCTGGTGCCAGCAGCAGGTGCAAGCAGGCTGGGTGCTGTGAGTGGGTGCGAGTGCTGGGTGGGACCTCGGTGTGTGGAGCAAATTCATGTACTAGTGGACCCATGAAGGATCAGATCGCCCCTCAGGAGCAGGGGGAGGTGGAGAAGCCCTCAGGGACCATTGGGATGGACACAGGTAGCAGGTGCAAGCTGCGGCTCTGGCGCTGGCTGCAGGTTTGAGGGGGTCGGTGCCAGCAGCGGGTGTGAGTGCTGGGTGGGACCGCGGCATGCGGGAGCAAAGAATTTTTAGTAACCATCAGAGGCTTGCCCCAATGATAGAACACCCCCACCTTGGTCTGGCGCCCACACTCACCCGCTCCACCATCCTGCCGCAGCTCACACTCACCATGTTCCACACTGTCATCTGCTGCCGATGCCCACCAGGTTCTGCACGTACCCTCTGGTGGTCAGCACACGTCATAGCCACCGGTTGTTCCAATGTTCGGTCTATTTGCTTATTAGGGTTTTATATATATATGACATAGAATGATGCATATAGTTGGTCCTCCACATCTGTGGATTCTCAACTGCAGATTCCAAATATTGTTTTCAGCCCTAACTGGTTTGGCTCAGTGGATAGAGTGTCAGCCCACAAACTGAAAGGTCCCAAGTTCGAGTCTGGTACCTCAGTCACAGGCTCAATCTGGGGCAGGCTTGATTCAGGGCATGTGTGGGAGGCAACCAATTGATGTGTCTCTCTCACATCAATGTTTTTCTCTGTCCCTCCTCCCTTCTACTCTCTCTAAATCTCAATGGAAAAATATCCTTGGGTGAGGATTAACAAAAAAATAAATAAAATGTTGTTTTCAACTGTATATTTGTTTTTGAAAAATTCATGTATTAGTGGACCCATGCAGTTCTAACCCTTGCTGTTCAAGAGTCAGCTGTCATGGTCAAAACAGGGAGTGCTTTTCTCTGGAGTTAGCTTCCTGGAGGGCTCTGCCGATTCCTGTGCACTTCACAGTGTGCACCGCACAAAGCCAGGTGGCACCGCCTTTCCGCCTCCGTGCCGCCTCCAGCGCGTCCTCCGGCCTCGCACGGGAGGAGCGGGGGCGCCTGCAGGCTCCCAGGATGTGGGCTCTGCCTGGCCCTCGGCACGGGCTTTGCAAGGGCCTGTCTCCCATTGAACAGCTCAGCGGACACGTTCTAAAAGCACAGAGCGTGCTGTTTAAAAAGTGCTCAGTATTCTAGGCCTGGTTTGCAGCTAGCTTTTCTTTTCAGGAAAACCAAGTTGTTCTTATGACTTATTCCTTCATGCCAATGTTAAACATCCGCGATCCTTTAGCAAAGCTCGAGGAAGGTTTCCTTGATGTGTTACCTATCTTCATCTTGGGCTGAATCCAGTGCTCATTAGTAATACATTAATCGTTTGTTTTATAGGTAAATATTCCGGTGTTTGGGTACTGACTGCCGAGTCATATGGCCCACACTTTACAGCTCCTCTCTGCCGTGGCAAACCTGGCCCGTTTCTCTTTATTAGCAAATGCTAACTACGAGCCGAAACCGGTTTGGCTCAGTGGATAGAGCGTCGGCGTGGGGACTGAAGGGTCCCGGGTTCGATTCCGGTCAAGGGCATGTACCTTGGTTGCCGGCACATCCCCAGTAGGGGGTGTGCAAGAGGCAGCTGATCGATGACTCTTTCATCGATGTTTCTAACTATCTCTCTCCCTCACTCTCTGTACAAAATCAATAAAAAAAAAAAAAAAAAAATATATATATATATATATATATATATATATATATATATATATATAAATGCTAACTACGAAATCTGCATGTGGAAGTAGCAAGCTAATGGGAGGCCCCCATGAGCCTGGGTGTGCTGCGCAGACTGGGAGCAGTCACTGGGCATGTTGTGAAGTCTTGCAGGTGATTTGAGACCAGGATCTTTTCTTGGTAGTCAAGTAGCTGCCGTCAAGTAAAGTAAAGATTCAAGAAAAACAATATATATATAAAAGAAAAATTGCCCAAGGCCCAGGAGGCACTGGGTAATTCTTTGTAGCTGTGTGAGGTCCGGTATTGAGGAAAATGTTAGGAGAAAATGCCCTGGAGACCCATCTCCCAGTCTGTGCCTCTTCCCTCCTCTCCCTCCCCCAAGTCCCTTCTTCCGGTATGACTGTTGACATTTATATTATAGGGTATATATGATATATACATAGGCAACACACATGCGGATATAAGGTGTATTTAAATGGTTTGTATGCGTGTACATATTCCCTTATGTATATTTACATATGTAGTTGAATAAGTTTGATTAGTGTTGCCCAGAAAAAGGGTACTGTCTGTGAGAGTCGCACATTGGTACGTGCCAGAATCATGTCAAGGTGACCAGTTAGATGTCAGGCTTGAGCTGTATTTTTTAAAAAATATTCTTTCAGGTCATTGGAACGGTTTATTGTGCCATAACTAGTCCTCTGTGATCTCTGGTACATGAGCACAAGCGAACGTGAGCTGGTTGTCCGGTAGGTCCTGGTTTTCAAAAGAGGGGCACGCTGTGTTTGGCACAGGTCAGTGAATTTGTTGTGGATTCCTGGCGGATCTCAAGATGGAGCAGGTGTCTGTGAGCACTTAGGGAAGAACCTGGGCCTAGCATGGGTGTGGCTCTGTAAGGACAACTTACGTCACATAAAACCTATCCTGCGTTGATAAGATTACCAGGTTGGTGGTGAAACATGTAAGGAGATCATTCTGTATCCGAAATTCAGCAAGGCAGTGCTGACACCGAGGCCCACTGGCTTGTGACAGGAGGGGTCAGAGAGTAGGAAGCCGTTCTGGTGCAGAGGAAGCGAAGGGGCAGGTGAGGGGGATGACAGGGTGCCTGCTCCAGCTCAGGGTGAGAAGGCCGGGCAGTGCTGAGCGAGGGCCCAGAGGAGGCACTGCAGCCGGACCGTCATCACAGGCCTCACACCGCAGTGGCCTGGCGGGCAGAGTTGTTGATTTCTTCAGGATGGAATGCTAAGAGCATCTGAAATCACACTTGCCCTCTTCGGTCAACAGAGTGGAGAGAATATGTCCTTGGAGACAGAAAGTGAAACGGTTTGAAGTCCTGTTTTATCACCTGGTAGCTGTGTAATCTGGAGCAAGCCACCAGAAATCTGTCTGTCCGTAATAATCCTACCTCTTACTGTAATGTGAGTGTGAAAGGACATCACTTCTATCCAGTACTCAGCGTCTGCCCAAACCCAGTGACTAGGGGCTCTCGGGAGGCAGCCATCAAGGTGTCGCCAGGGCCGCAGTCGGAGGTGCCTGTCCTTTGTCTGGATTTGGAGCGACAGGAGCAGCTGTACCCTGGGCAGCCGGGTGGCTCAGTGGGTAAGGCGTGTGCTCTTGAGGCTGCCTGGGTTGGAATCTCCGCTCTCCGTGGTCATTCAGCTTTTCGAACCTCTCCCTGCGGGTGACAATCATAGTACTCGCCTCTAGGCTGGTTGTGAGCATGAAG